CAAAAGAAGGTAATATTTTGAAATGTGTTTATTAATTTTAAGTGACATGAACTCTGTTCAATAAATATTTAAACAACGGACTACATTGTAATATTGTGAATAACACCTTTCATTGCATAGAAAGGTCATTTTGTAAGTTATAACGCAGATTCTATTCCCCGCGCCAGCACTTACAATGCTTAGGTGTTTCGGATGAGACCGTAAAAAAAACGAGGGCCAAGGAATCAGTCCACTACAGTTGTCATGTAAATTAAACAGTGCGCCTCTCTGGAACGGAGTAACTGCTGTACCTATGATTTTCCCAATGAATAAAATAACTGTTTTCAAATGGCAGTGCATATGTGCAAGCGAAATGCGACAATTAATTAACCGAATGAAAAAAAAAAATCTACAGTGATGACATTAGTCAAGAATTTTGATTGTGCTCATAATGATTATATCGATAATATCTCTTTTACAACTTTTATTTTGCAGAAAGAACTTCAGAAGAATTTGGCAGAAGTAGTATTTCCAAAATTTTGTGGATTATTTGAAAAAGCATTAGATCAAAACGGAGGAAAGTTTTTCGTCGGAAATTCGGTAAGGACATTTTCTATGTTTTGTACATTCCTAACAAAGGTCCAATTAAAGTGAAACTTAATTCATGCGCTAAACGTAATTTTCGTATCATTTAAATATCTCAGCCGAGAATATGTTTTGTTACTTATATGCTTTTATGTAACGTGCAAGAAAAGGCGAATTATGCCAGCTTTTTTCTATTGAATGTACCATCAATACCTTCGGTAGAAAAATAAAGGGGCAAGCATTAAAGCTGAGAGTTTAACTTAATTGGTTCCAGAGTTGATTCATAATCTACCAATGCGACCTGAAACAAGATCTGTAGAAACTCTGTCACATTTTAAATCTCTATTAAAGAAATCAACCTTTCGATCTACAGACACTCCAAAATGGTACCTTACAGGTGAAAGAAAACTCTCAGTTTTACACTGCAGACTGAGAAATGCATGCAGTAACTTAAATTTCCACTTATTCTGCAATCATTTGTCACAGGATGCAAATTGTTCGTGCGGTTATGAGAGAGAAGATGTTAACCATTTTTTGTTTACTTGTCCAAAATATCGAAATGAGAGAATTGATCTTTTTAACGAATTAAGGCAATTTCACCCTTTAAATGTCCAATTACTTTTAGTTGGTAACAAAGAGTTGTCTTTAGAAAATAATAATAAAATATTTTTGACTGTTCAGCATTTCATAAAAGTAAGCAAACGCTTTTGATTTTGAAAACAAACCAACACAATCACAATAAATATTAATGTATTTTTCTTTCATTTTTGCAAAACAATAGACAAGATTCTTTCCTTTCTTCTTCAATTTTTTCTTCTATATTTCATTTTCTCAAAATCTATTTTTGTTTTTGTTATATTCGGCAAATGTACATGTTTTCTAAGTCATTGTAACGCAAATATATAAAAATCAGTTAACATCGTTAAATACCATTCAAGCTAGAGAACATGTACACCCAATCATTTTTATTGTTCTTTCTTACCTAAAATCATTTTTAAAGCCAAGTACTATATATGTGTGAGTTTTGTTACTTCTATCTAACTGATAGTCATTCTTGTAAAATAAGTTATTGTAATTTATTGCATCAGGGAAGACCCGTTGCTAATGTTGAGAGAACTTGTGGGTCAACCCTTTTGCCAAATATGTCATGTCATTGTATTGTAACTGTCTACATGTATGTATATGTCTTATTTTTGGCAATAAAATATGTTTAAATCAATTTAAATCATACCAATGCGACCGGCGCAGATTACTCCGTCACATTCGTATGATTTACTGTTCGATATTCAGTCAAAACTTAATCTTAAATCATTGTTTTCGTCGAGATTAAATGATTGACAAAGGTTTATTTAAGAAACTATGCTCAAACACTGCACTTTTTGAAAAACGTTTTGTTTGCTATACTGTTACATACAATATTCATTTTCTTTTCTTTTTTTTTTAAATATTTTTAAAATAACTCCTCAGGATTATCTAAATTGTAAGAAAAGTATGGAAGTCATAGAACATTTGTCGTTTTACATTGAAGAATGGTGCTTTCGCAAATTTGATTTAAACATGATAGTCAAATTCTTATGTATTCAACCAACATCGTTCTTTCTTTAACCCCTTTTTCGAGATGTCATAAAGACCACACAGTTCATTTTTAACAGCAAAACTAATCTCTGTTGATAAATATTTTGACTGTGTGTATATGTAGCTAATCATAAAATGTTTTCTATTTTAGCTGACACTCGCTGATCTTGCTGTCTTAAACGCATTTGACACGCCATTACATCAACACGCCACACTTCTAGACTCGTTTCCCAAACTTAAAGCACACAGAGAACGTGTAATGGCCACTCCAAAACTTTCTGAATACATCAAGAACAGAAAGGTTACTGACATTTAAAAAAATCGAGACTGTGAGAAAAGACCGTAAACTATTAGTGAATAATGTGTCAATAATATGAAATAATTAAAAAATCAAACAATTTATACCTTTTTTTCCATATGTTTGTGTTTTGTATGTTCTCTAAATGCACCATTAACCGTGCACCATTAACCGTAAATTTCAATACAACTCTGAACAATAAGAGATTATCCGCTTCCTTCTGTATTGAAAATGTTCCAGCTTCCATTTATCAACAGAAATCTTTCATAATGTGTTAAGCTCACCGGAATCAAAGATTCAGGATGAGCAGTAAATACATGTATGATATTGGATGCTCCGGAAGGCGTCCAGGACTATAAATTGCTTTCTCTAAAGGTGCTTTATTTGCCTTATTTGCATTTTTGTGGCCGTCAAAAAAGATAACCTTTACATTATTATTCACACATTGTGTAACGGATATAACAACACTGTTTTTGTAATATCTTAGCATCTTGCAAGCTGGTCAATGATCAAGTTTTCAAAAGAACAAAAATCTCTGCCTAGCGGGGGCTACGGTCAACTGTTTCTTCTTTCTAAAACGAAAACTATTATAGTAGAGAGTATTTCTACAAACCTATTTTTGTAACAATCTCGGAAACAAACGAAATTCAAACTTCATATTTGACCTTGACGGTCAAGGTCATTCAAATGTTACTGTCATATTTGAATTAATCATCATTTCAGTTTTGTCATAACTGCTCTTTTGCCCAAAGTCATATCAGATATTCGTCTTGTCGGTTTGTAACAAATATGAATCAAAACTGTAAATAACAAAATTATGGCACATTTAAGCAAATTAAAAAGTTGGCCCCATCGGTAAGTCAATATCATATCAGAATAATTCAACATGTAGGTTTTGTCATGTGTTCTTTTGTCCAAGTATGAATCAAATATGTACGAAAATTACAAAGTTATGCCAATTTAAGAAAATTTCAATAATGTCAAAGTCATATCAGAATAGTTTTGTTGTATGTGTCCTTTTGTTTTGATAATTTAAGTAAATTTCAATTGTTTGACCTTAATGGTCAATGTTTGGTTTTCTTTTACGGCGCACCAACATCTGCTGTCAGTTCGAATCCCGACAGGAACTTTCCCACTGGGTAAATGAAAAACTGATTAGTTTCAGATCGGATACTATGCAAATCTAGTTTCGTCTCAATTGTATGTACATCCAAACGAATACATATGCTTAGCTTATAAGGCTGATTTTGTCAGGAAATGTTGGTAATATTGATGATTAAGTCTATCTATTAGCGGCGATTGAGTACACTCATGTGTATTAGTAGCTATAAAGTAAGCTTATGGGTGTCTGTGGCCGAGTGGTTAAAGTCAGATGTTGAACTCGATAAAGTGTAATCGACTAGAGATTGAATGTATGTTGTACTTTAACAAATTTATTTGTCAAGTATGTGCAATTAACTGTTTCCAGGCATGCGATTTTTCTAGCAATTAACTATTGCATTTCTTCCTTGACACTATCGTGTTAGAGCATATTTTATACAGCGCTTTCAGGAGTTTACCTCTTTTCTTGTATATAAAGGGGGATTTCCTTCCAACACGGTCACAGACGAGAATATCTAGCTCTTATGGTAACTGTTAAGCGAAAATTCGACAAAGCTTTATTACTACCGCAAACAGTTATTCAGAACAAGGTATTCTTGTCTGTAGCGATAATCAATGTATGGGCATTGAGTTAATGTACATGTAGTATTGTTTCTAACACTCCACATGATTTTATCACTATAGACAAAGAAGAAAAATCTAAGCACAAAAGGCGTTGAATTTGTTTGGGTTTCAGAATGTCAGAAAGGTGAAGGTTGTTAGATTATAAACCACTTTGTTTTTGTCTTGTGCTACCAGTTATAATTGTAGTAAATTAGCTATAAGACTAATTGCTACATTGATATTCAATTCAATGTTTATTTGGCTTAAACAATTTAAAAAACAATATTGCATTTGAGAAAAATGCTATGCCACCGCATTAATACAACACTAAATAGTAGTGTAGGAACATTTTTTTTTATTCTATACAATTGAAGATTGTCATAATGCATAGATCCTTGACCTATCTAATTCTTATTATCAGATTAGTGGTTAAATCTATTGTTAATCCAATAAAAGAACAGAGTAGGAATATATCAATGCACTTGAGTCTAGTGAATTTGGTGGTGAAGGTCATATTTCACACAACCTAAATTTCATGACTACATCAAAGGACAACACAGTAAGACACTCAAAATCTAGGTCAGCTGATATCAAAGTTCACTTTACATCTTAATCTGTGCACATGGTTCAAATTTCATAGCTGTACATCAAAGGACAAGAAAGTAGGTCACATCATCAAAATCTAAGGGCGGAACCAATTTTGACCCCAGGGCTATAAGTTGAACAATCTTGGTAGAGGTTCACTTCGTAAAGTCTCATGCCATATATTTACCATCTAGCCTTTGTCAATTCAGAGAAGAGAAATTTCATGTTTTTACTTCATACATATAAGGAAAGCTATCGCCTCAAGGGCAGGGCAATTTTAACACTAGGGGCATAATTAAAACAAATTTAGTAGAGGAACCATAGACGATATTATATACCAAATAACAAAGCTCTAAGCCTTGTACCTTCAGACAAGAAGATTTTTTAATTTTTTTACTCTATGTACATAGTGAAAATCAATGACCCCTGGGGGTGGGGCCAATTTTGACCCCAGGGCTATAATTTCCACAATCTTCCTAGAGGTTCACTTCACAATGTTTCATGCAAAATATCTAACCTCTAGCCTTTGTCAATTGCTAGAAGATTTTTTTTTTAAAGTTTTTACTATAAGTTTTAACTATATACATAAAAGGAAAACCAATGATCCCCGCGGCGGGCCAATTTTGATCCCAGGGCTATAATTTGAACAATCTGAGAAGAGGTATACCAGACAATGCCTTATGCAAAATATCTAAGCTTTAGGCCTTTTGGGTCTTCACAAGAAGGTATTTTAAGTTTTTACTATATGTACATATAGTGAAAATCGATGACCAAGAAGGTATTTTAAGTTTTTACTATATGTACATATAGTGAAAATCAATGACCCCCTGGGCGGGGCCGATTTTGACCCCAGGGCTATAATTTGAACAATCTTGGTAGGCGTCTACCAGACAATGCCTTATGCAAAATATCTAAGCTCTAGGCCATTTAGGTCTTTACAAGAAGATTTTTTAAAATTTATTCTTATAATTCCTTTTGGTTGCCGTGGCAACCAGATTTCTGCATGGAATGAAATTCTTTGAACAACTTTGGAAGCCCTTCACCCAAGGATCAATCCTGCCAAGTTTAGTTGAAATTGGACTAGTTGTTTTGTCACAAGAAGAATTTTGAAGTTCACTGTATAATCTATATCACACACAAACACACACACATACATACACACAGGTTTTTTGTTTGTTTTGTTTTGGGTTTTACGTCACATTGACACAGTATAGGTCATATCGCGACGTTTCAGCTTTACTGGTGGAGGAAGACCTCAGGTGCCCTTCCGTGCATTATTTCAGGCACGAACGGGCACCTGAGTAGAACCACTAACGTTCCGTAAGTTAGCTGGATAGCTTCCTCACATGAAAGAATCCAAAGTCCCTGTCGGGATTCGAACCCACAGCGGTGAGGGGCAAGTGGTTTGAAGTCAACGACCTTAACCACTCGGCCACGGACGCCCCCATACACACAGGTGAATCGCTATATGCCACCGTATCGCAGATGCTGCGGTGGCATAAAAAACAAAAAACAAAAAAACAGCAACAACAAAACAAGAGATAGAATATGTTTAAACAATAATTTGAAGAAATGCCATGACCTGGGGCATTTAAGCTTTAGCTTAAATGAGGCTAATCAAAGCAAATATAAGCAAACTTGATAAAAGACTACCTAAAAATGCTACAAAGTTTGGTTATCATCTATCAATTATTTCAGTAGGAAATGATGTTCGAATGTTTTTTCTTTTTTTAGCTTTAGTGGCCCCTAAAAGGGGCTAATCAAATTAATATAAGCAAACTTGATAAAAGATTACCCAAGAATGCTACAGACAAAGTTTGGTGATCATCCATCAATTAGTTCTCTAGAAATAGACATTTAAAGGTATTTCTATTTTCAGCTTTTGCGGCCCTAAAAGGGGCCAATCAAATAAATATTAGCAAACTTGATAAAAGACTTACCAAGAATGCTACTGGACAAAGTTTGGTGATCATCCATCATTAGTTCTCTAGAAATAGAACATTAACAGTATTTCTATTTTAGCTTTAGTGGCCCTAAAAGGGACCAATCAAATAAATATGAGGCAAACTTGATAAAACACTACCCGAAAATGCTGTCGACAAAATTTGGTGATCATCATCAATCAGTTCTGTAGGAGAAGATGTTAAAGGTTTTTTCTATTTTTTGCCCTATTAAAGAGACCCCTAAAAGGGGCCAATTAAAAATTATATTAGAAAATTGATAAAAGACTACTAACAATGCTACAGAACAAAGTTTTGGTGATCATCCAATCAATTAGTTTCCTAGAAATAGACATTTAACGGTATTTTCTTTTTTTAAGTTTTTGGGGGCCCCTTTTAAAAAAAAGGGCCCCCAAATTTTTAAAAACCCAAAAAATGAGCAAACGGGAAAAAAAACACTCCCAAAAAACAAACAGAAAATTTTGGTGATAAACCATCATTTTAGTTCTGTAAAGAAAAGATTTTAAAAGGTTTTTCTTTTTTTGTCTGCTGACCATAAAAGGGGCCCAAATTTGGGAATGACAATAAAGAAAATTTTCAATTTGGTTGACGGGCACAAGGATGCTACGGGCCCAAATTTTTAAAAGTAAATTCCCAGTAGTTTGGGAAAAGAAAAGGATTGTTGACGCATGACGACGGACGAGGGAAACCGCCGGGGGCATCCCCTTTGATCCCTTTAATAGCTCATTTCGACCCTTTCCCGGCTAAGGGAAAAAAATTTTGTTTTTTAAAGTTTTGGAAATTATCCATTGGTCAATATTTTCTAATATTAAAATTTGAAGCATAGAAATATCTTTAAACAAATGAATTTGAAG